CTGGGGTATTCTTCACATTTTGCAATACTTCTAGAACAAAGATTTCTTTGAAACGTTTAGTATTTCTCAAAAAGTCGTTTTGACAGACTGCTATGCGAAGCGAACGGATCGGATTGAGTAAATTTCCTCTTTGGAAAGTGGTGGCACAGAGTTCCCCACGTCGTATGAATGCGATACTAAACACGACGTACGGATAAGGTTAATAATAGTTGTATCGTAACTACTGAGGTATCATTTTTTTTAAAAGTTTATGTAGAATCAATAAATAAGCAACAAACATTCAGAGTAAAATTCTAATTAGCGTTTAATTACGTCATAAGCGTGACGTAGGGAGCCCGATGGGTATGATCCAAAATAAAAAGGGGCTGTTCAAATATAATCTTACACAATTTATGACCATTGATTATTTGGAATGTACTTGCCATATTTTTTTAACTACCCTTGTTGATAAACCATTCTTTGTTCTACCAGAAAATGTTCCAATGGTTATCTTAGAAGTGATACCTTGACAAGACGTCTTTCCCTTTTACCAACCAAATCCGCGAAGACCTCGCTGAACCCTTCCACTCGCTCTGTTCATTGTTGGAAATGTACAAGACAGGGAAATACGTTGAACATCACTCGGAGATTTTGGAACTTCAGTTTGAAAGGTCAATACATTTTGGTATGTTTTATAATCACTGACTTTAAATTGTACTCAATTCCATTCGAAATTCTAAAGAAAGCGAGAATATTTAGAGCCAAGCATTTCCTTTTTAACTGAGCCCCCCATCCACTTTTTCCTGCCCACAGCCTTTGGGGTTGTTCAAATAATATAATCTAACACCTTTTTGGGGGGGAATTTTTGCCCCCTCTCCCCTCCCCATTTTTTTCACAATGTTTTTACATTTGCCTCTCAACGCTGCCCCCCCCCCCCCCCCCCCAATCCCCATCCCACAATATTACATTGTTTGCTTATAATAATACATGTCATATGATTTATATCGTGCAAATCTGTGTTACAATCATTGTTCTATGTACTTTACATAATATTTATGAAAAACATGCATACACACATGTATTGCACTTAATAATATATGTGAGGCAGCGTAGTGGAATCAGGCTCTCGTCAATTTTTGGGCAAGTAGAGTTATTGGTATCATCGTAAAGCTTGTTCAATTGTCTTTATTTGGATAAAAAAATATCCATTTAT